AAGGGAGAAGAGAGAAAATGTGAAAATGTGTTGTAATTGTTGTAGAAAATGTGTTTCTTCCTCAACAATACAAACCCATTGGGTTTGGGGCGCTTGATATATTACCCAAACAAAACTGAGATGTCCTCGCAGGATCCTATCTCCCGACCTCGTAGAGCTGTTCAGAGGACGAGGTCAGCACCTGCGAGGAACTCGGAAAGGACCTCCCCGGAAGGACCCCAAAGGACGGCAGGGCAATGGTCACAGAAGGCTGTGTCAATCCCTATGGGTGGTTCTTTCACTCAGAAACCAACCCCAAAAGGTTGGTACACCAAAAGAATGCCAAGCAGCAGAGAGAGAGAGAGAGAGAGAGAGAGAGAGAGAGAGAGAGAAAGTCCAAAGACCGGGCCTTTGTGCCGCTGAGCGCGTTCCAGAGAGTGAGGCCGTTGTCCACCCGCATGCGCGGGAAGAGAACTGCCGTCAGCAAGTGCCTCCCTGGCCGAGAAGCGGCGGGAAATTTTGGGCGGCCTTTTGAGGTTCAAAGAAATTCCTTGCGCTGGATTTGGACTTGTTTGTCACCTATGCAAAGAATTAACAAATGCAATTGGTCACCAATATTGAGTCACCTATGCAATTTGATCAGTATTCAACATTGGTCGATCGGTCGATCGATCCAAAACCATGCAAAGAATAAAAAAAGGCGGCTATCCGCACCCATACCTGACAAGGGGCCTTGCCCTTACCAACCCTCATCTGCGCCTGGGCTTTGATTCTGGCTTGGATGCGCTGCTGCTTCACTCCGGAATACGCTTTCCACTGTGCGCGTAACAGGGCTAAAAAAGGATCTCCTCGTGTGCACGGGAAATACGACAATGTCCTGAACGCTCTCACACAGTCTCATGTGCTGTCTTCTTTCAACTCAACTGTAACAAAATTTGCAGCATCCATACTGTGGATGGACAAACTCCTGCTGAACCACCAATCAATTAGGTGGATGTTGCTCCATCTCCAGTTCTGACCATGGGTAACTTCTCCCATGTGGTTGAAATATCGCATCTGTTAAGTGACGTTTCCTCCAATGATCATCCCATGTTCATCGGACCTTTGGTCAACCCCTACATAGGGATGGACAGAATGTTGTAGCAGTTCATAAAATGTTGGTTCATCCCGGTATTCATAGGGTCTCTTATAGCTCATCATGTTGACCCCTGATTTTATAAACCCAGCTAGTTATCATCACCGTCCCGGTCCTGGAAGAAAGGAATTTGGGCACAAGCGAATCCTTTCAAAGGTGAGATTGCGTGCTGAAGTCACCCCGAAGCGTCATCCCTATGTCTCTCAAAGGTGCACCCCTTTCTTTCGGAACTTTTCTTGCTGGTGCTCAGTAGGGAATGTGGGCTTTGGTCCCTGAAAGGAATCCACCAGTTGCCAGTTGGATGGCTTTTTTTTGCTGGTCATTCCATTTCTTCCCTGCATCGTGGATTTTTGCCTTTGGCCCGAGAATCTCGTTTTCTCGTTTCCGTGAGGCTCCGGCCATCTCGGCTCCACTCCGCGCTCACGGTGCAGTTGGCTTCGCAGCTGGAGATGCGCACGAAGTCGCACCTCGAGGCTTGTTTGGTGCATTTTGTGCGGCAGGGCGAAAAGAAACTGTTATACAATATGGCTGTGGTTGTCAAAAATAGGGTAAACCCAAAATGGCTTGCCCTGGTAAATGGAACCAAAGAACCAAATTGTCACATGGAACACAAGCAGTTGGCTGAATGGCTGAATGGTGGCAGTTGGCTGTTGTTATTGGTGTTCCAGCTGGCTTTGTTATTGGTGTTCCTGAAATTGGGGGCAGTTGGCTGAATGGCTGAATGGCGTTCTTTGTTAAACATATGGCTGTGGGTCTAAATTATATAAACCACCAGGGGGCCTGCAGGCGGTAGCCCATGCTTCCATTTGCCAGGGTTCCATGTTGGGTACCTAGTTTTGACCCATAGTCATATGCTGAAATGGTTACGTATGGTAAAATGACACGTAAGGTAAAATTGTGACATATGGAAAAAAGGTTCTCTGTATGTTCTACCCTCCCACCAATTTCACATGGAACCTGACGTCTCGTGGGCCCTTTAAAAGGAACATGGTCCAGTAGGAGGGTACTTTTATTGTCACATAAAGTAAATGTGCCTTTTATACTGCTAAACCATGTTTTCTCGTTTTTTGCTACAATGGGGTAGAATATTGCAGATGCTAGGTGGAGCTTAGGTGCGAAATCCGAGTGAACCCACTGGGTGCAGTGTGCTGTGATATCAGATTTCCTTCATTCTGGAGTGGCTGAAAAGGTCCTTGCATCGGGCTCAAGGATGGCCTGCCAAACCTGACTTCAGAAAAACCCGTGAAAGGCTCGTTTTGGTGCAGCTACAAGACCATGTCCTACTTGAAGTCTAGCCGCTTCTCCTCCGTTCGGCCATAGAAGTCCATCTCACCCTTCAGGTTCCTGGCGCGATCTTTGTGCGGACTGGCTGCCCGAGGCGGGCGAAGGTTGGCTGAAACGAAAAGAGGCCCTGGAGCCGATTGAAGTCTAAGATACGCCGTCCCCAGGGGTTAAGAAACCGCGAAACAAGGCTCCGACAAGCGCAGAACTGGCTTCGGCGCGGCTGGCTTCGGCCCGGATTGCTTCGGTTTTCCGGTGAAACCCGGATTGGCGCGCCCGAAGCCGGCGATGCAGACCAGGGAGCCGAAGTGGTTGAAGCGAATGAAGTTTCGGTGCGCCTCCGGCTGACCCGTAGCGCCGGACCGAATCACATCGCCAAAAATAACACGAAAAAGTCGCAAGGTGGGAAAGGAGTCTGCCCATCGTGACAATCGAAGGAACGCCTCTTCCTCACTGGCGAGGCTTCTCGCGAGTTGGACTCAGAGCAATTTGGGATGGGGGTGTCCGTGTTTTTGAGGGTACCTTTTTGGGAGACTGTTCAAAAGTGAAACCACAAAACGCGGCCTCCATTTTAAAGGGGGGGATCCAACCTTCCAAAAGAAGAGACGAGCCACCCAGTCCCTCGCTTCCATCGCCCACCATCTCCCCACGGCCCATGGCGCTTCGCCGCTTTGCCGCTTCGTCGCTTCGTCGCTTCGTCGCTCGCCTTCTCGGTGAGGACCTTCTCCTGGCTCACCGTCTGCTCCTTGGCGTCCCAGCTCCACAGGGTCACCTGCGATCGATCGCCGGGTCTGCGGGCCTGAGGATGACCCGGCCGGACTTTTGGGGTGGGGAAGGGGGGGGAAGGGCCAAAGATGCCTCCGGGAATTTGAGTTCAGTTCAAGGCGGCCCTAAACCCGGGGGTCGAAACGCCTGCAAGTCAGCCGGAGACGAAAAGTAAGTCTGGGCCCTTTTTGCGGAGAGTCTCTCAAGCCGTCCCTCCACGGATCCATTTGTTGGACTTCTTCAAGGTAGCCCTCAACCCAGGGTTGATTTGTTCAAGATGAACCGGGTTCAAGTCGACAGGGTCAGCAAAAAACGGAACCCTGCATCCCTCTCAGATTCTCTTCAAAATGTCTGTGTGGCTGTCCTTTTTTTGAGGCTACATTTGTGGTGATTTGTTTATTTTTCTCTGTTGCCCGGGAAACCACCAGGAGGCCACCATGTTCTACCATGTTCTTGTCGCGACTCTCACCCTCTTTGGTTGACGTTGGAAGGGGAGCAAACATTTAAATTTTAGCAGTTAAGTGGTTGGATTTCAACCACTAATCCACAACAAGCAAAATTTGCAAAATGCTTCCCAACAACAACCATGCCTCTGTTGTGATGCAAGCCGTTCATTTGCGACCAACCCATTGGCTGATTCAAATGGCCGTGGGTCAAAACCCAAATCGTACCCCCAGTGAACATCCCAGTCCACCCCCCCAAAAAAAAGGTGCCTAAAATGGGTGGTGAATTCACCGAAAGCCGACCAAAGTGGGATGTTTTGACCGGTTTTGACCACCGATCCAAATCCAATTCTGGCCTTCGCCGGCTGGTAGCCGCGGATGAGGACGAACTCGTCCCGCGTGGGGCTCCACTCCACAGCCTGGATTGAATCTTTGGGCCCCGTCGCATGAAGCACATCATGGGCTTGGCCCAACTGGAAAAATCCCAAGCAGACAAAAAGGAAGGGAAGAAAGAAATCAAAGAGCAAGCAACAAAAAAAACACAAACATGTTGCTACTTGGACAAATGAAGAGCCGAAATCCAATGTGGGTGACACAATTGGGCCCTTCTTTCCTTGTTTCAAGGGAACTCATTGCCGTTTCAGGGCGGCAAGACGCAAAAACACGCCCGCCCGCTCCTGCACGGCAAGGCCCATCGCGCTGGATGAGACCGTGTCTGCCTCTGTCAAGTCCTCGTGGACGCTGCACACAGAGTCTCCCCTTTTGACGCGCTGGTGATGCAAAGCCGGCTGACTTGGCCCAAGTGGACAGTGCCCACCCTTCATGGTATCGTGGTATCATCCCCCTCAAGCTGCAATCAATTCCGGGCAGACGCCGGAGAGACTGAGCACAACATGGAGAGAGAGAGAGAGAGAGAGAGAGAGAGAGAGAGAGAGAGAGAGAGAGAGAGAGAGAGAGAGAGAGAGAGAGAGAGAGAGAGAGAGAGAGAGAGAGAGAGAGAGAGAGAGAGAGCGAGAGAGAGAGAGAGAGAGAGAGATGTCAAACTACATGCTTCACTACTTGCATTTGTGTTGTATACTGCAAGTGCTGTACTTGTAGTAATTGTAACTCCGATTTTGACGAGAGAGGGAGGGAGGGAGGGAGGGAGGGAGGGAGGGAGGGAGGGAGGGAGGGAGGGAGGGAGGGAGGGAGGGAGGGGAGGGGAGGGGAGGGGAGGGGAGGGAGGGAGGGAGGGAGGGGAGGCAACGGCTCACTTCAGATGGGAGAGAGATAGAGAGCTGCGCCAAGAGATGCCACAGAGAGCCAAGAGACGTCACCCGAATCTCCCGATTGCACAGAGAGGTGTCACAAGATTGGCTTCACAGCGGAGATTCACTGAAGGGCATAGTGCATTGCGGGGGAGAGCGTGCGCAGACACAGAGAAAGAGAGAAAGGGAGAAGGAAAGGAAGGAAGAAAGAAAGGAAGGAAGCAAGGAAAAAAGAGAAGAGAAGAGAAGAGAAGAGAAGAGAAGAGAAGAGAAGAGAAAAGATAGAGAAAAGATAGAGAGAGAGAGACTACGCAGCGAGACGTGACATTTCAGAGATATTGCAACCAGGGATCGCACAAAGAGACTGGAGGCATGGACTACCAAAGGAGCACGCAGCAAGTGAGGCTGCCTGATGCTCAGCAGTCCTTTATTTGGCCATGGGTCAAACTCCAAATCGTACCTCCCAATATCCCCACTAAAATAGGTTCCAAAAACGGGTGGTGAATTCACCGGAAGCCAGCCAAAATCAAAAACCCGTTGAACGGGATCCTGACCGCCACAGCCGTTTGAGCGCACAGAACGTAACACGCAGCACTCCTGCTGAAAGCCGCCGTCCGCCGAGGCCAACAGCCTGGCGAAAGCGGGCGCTTCGTGGCGGACGACGGTGGGCGAGCGGCTGCACTCGGGGGCGCGGCAGCTTCGAGACTCCGTAGTAGCTCTTGCCGGAGTCATCCACCTGAGGATGCGAAATGCACACAGGCCTTTAGAACCAAAACGCCCGCGTTTTTTCGGACCTGTTGAGAGAACCTGAACGGTTTCACCAGGCCACAACTGGCCCCTTTGCACCAACCAAACCGCCGGTAAAAAAAAGTTGGGCTGCCTCGCCCCCTTGCGCGTGCTTGCGCGTCCCGCTCGTCCCGCCTCTGTAGTGCAGTGCACCAGCAGCGCAGTGCCGCTGCTATTCCACTTCAGCTCTGCTAGCTGGCCTCGGCCAGCGAACCGCCCCGCGTGGCTCTTGACCAGCTCGGCTCACCCAACCTTCGGCTTCCCTCAAGAATCGGTGGTTTGCCGAATCGGCGGTTTGCTGGCCAAGGAGGGGTTTCCAATGTCCCCTGCATAAGAACCTAGAAACTCAAATCCAAGTTCAAACCACTTGAAGACAAACCCTGGAATTGCCTGGAACCCTCCGATCCGACCGACTTCGTTCCTACGGCGCTGAACGAGCGCTTCGTTTCGGCTCCTGGCCGGATTCCACCTCGGCCTTCATCAGCTGCGTCTGAAGCCGGTCGATGGTGAAGCCGCTGCGAGAAGAAAGAACCGGCTCCCGAGACGGAGCTTTCAAAGTGGGAGACATGACAGGGTCATGGTGGACCATGTTCCTTGCAAAGGGGTTCCTGTCAAGTTCCATGTTCATTGGGGGGGGGGGGGGGGGGAATGTTGCTTTTTCTCACAAACCGACGATTCCAGACTTCCATCAGTTCTGCTATCGGCGTGTCTCGTCTTGGTTGGACTCCCCAAAGTGTCGGCTTGTGGCTTTCCCTTTCAAACCCTCACGAAGTAATGTTGACCCCATATGAATAAACCCCGGTTTAATCAATTCGAGGGTGTCCGATTCCGGTTTTAGCGGGGGGAGTTAGACCACTTTTGGAGGGGAACACCCCTCATAGGAATAAACCTGGGTGTTTTTTTCTCCGATTCAGGACTCAAACTCCTGACAACCACAAGAATATCGAACCCAGTGATTTGGGCCTGTCTTTCTTTGAGTTGCCACCCCCCCCCCCCCATGTTCGATGGTTTTAAAGGACTCGTTAACACCCGAAAACCGAGAAACCCACACCCCAGCTCCACCCATCGCGCAGATGCCTTGGTGAGCCCGGAGTCCTCCAACCCGACCTGCACAGCAAAAACGCCCGACCTAACCCACCAAAATGGGAGCAAAAGAAAACAAACACGTCGCTGGGATGGGGAGAGAGAGGGGCATGAGGTGTCCTTTTGCAAATAGATGAGGTGTTCTTTGTTGCTGCAAATAGATGGCAGAGGGTCGATGAAACCAGGTACACCAGGGATCGCCATCCGATTTTTCGACCAGAGCAACCAAGGACACCTATGGAGAGGGGGGCGAGATTGCTTGAGACGGCTTTGTTTTGCAACAACAGCAGAAGTGTCCTTTTGAAACCAAAAGTACAACACAAAAACCACGCCGCTGCGCAAGGAAGAGGTTCGAAGATTGCTTGAGAGAACAGGTTTTTGCAAGGTGTACCATGCAAAACCCCGCTTCCCAGTGGGTGAAAAGAAAATCGGATAGACCCAAAAAGACTCACGCCCCAATCAGCCCTTCCAAGGCCCAAACCCGACAAATTGTCCATTCTTTCCAACCACCAGAAGGAAAACCAAAAAGACACTTTGCCACCTACAGCTCAGAGTCTTTCCAACCAGAAAAGAACACAAAAACGGAAGGGAAAGCAGAGAAAAAAGGAGAAGAAACAAAATAAGAAAAAACAAAAGAAAAATAAAATAAAAATAAAACCTCGAAGCCGGTTTCCTCGGCTTCGTTTCGCTCCCTCAGCTCGTCCGCTCGCTGCCGCGCCTCCCAGACGCTGACCTCCGCTGGCGCCGCCACGCGCTGCAGGTCGTCCCGCGCGTCGGGCACCTGGGCGGAGGCTACGCGGAGGCCGCGGAGCCGCAGAAAATGGGCGGTGGTGGGCAAAAATCGGCAACCCAAATGGAACCTAGATGGAAACATTCACTAAACATGGACCAGAAATGGATTAACATCAAACTAGGTGGCAAGTGGATGTTCCACCCCAAATGGAACCCTAGTAAATGGCGTTATTAAATTTTTTTGATTTCTGAGTTGCTTTATTTTAGGGCATAACCTATGGCAATGGATCTAATTTTGGTAAGTGGAAACATTGACTAAACCCTGCGGTCCCTGGTGACGAATTTTGATAGACAAATACACCCCGCCGCCTTCGTGCAGGTGCTGCAAGCGGGAAGGGGGGGGGGGCTCTGATGGACACCGAGGGTCGATTTTTCGCAACCTCCTTCATTTAGGGTTTCTTGTGGCTTGAGTCTGCGCAATAGACTCTAAGTGTGCATGGGACCCCCCCCGACTCTTCTCCCCAACCCCTGAGCACCCCCCTCGCAGGCGCGCTCCGTCGAGTACTCGACCCCCTCTTTTGAGGCGTCACAGACGAGTCAGGAGGAGGTTGTAGTCGTAGACGGCCACGGCCTTGCCGTTGGCCTCACCCAGTCCACCCCCCCCCCCCACACACACCCCACCCCACCCCACCCCACCCCACGAGCCAGGTCAAACCCGCCGTGGTCAATCCCATCTCCGCCAGCGAGGTCGCTGCTTCCAGCCTCGAAGTAGCCGGCGTCCACCGGCTGCAGGAAAGCCGCCACCCGCAGCAGCCCGGAGAGGGACCCGCTTTCGCCGCGGCGCAGGGAGCTCAGGACCTGCATTTGGCAATTAATTGGCAATCGGGGAGCCAAAGAAACGACCCTCCCGACCACTGACAGACACCTATGGGAGGGCACCTGGAAGATCATGAGTTCCTCATTTGAGTCAAAATCAAAACCTGGTCTTAAAATGGTCCCAGAACCATCCAGGGAATTCAGAAGGCGTTTTTAACTTATCTGTATTTACCCAGAATCGGTTTTGGTTGTGGAACTCAGGTCATGTCCCTCTGCGAGAGACAGCTCGGCGCAGAGCGCGCCGCCGTGGGCGGGTCTTTTTCTATCGCCAGAAGTCACAGGCTGGATCCGTCAGAGATGCCGGCTGGTCCCGGTACTTGTTGGCGAAGAGGTTCCTCGGCTCCCGGTGCCCAGGCGAATTGAAAATCGCCCATTGCGTCTGGCTGACTCGTGAGTGACAAGGTCCTGCGTATGTGTTTGGCCTGGCCAAAGTTGAATTCATGTGTTCATGATTGTCAATTTGATTTGGTAACATAGCTGAATTCATATTCTGATTAATTGATTTGAATATTGGTAACATAGCTGGCCGTCTCTGCCGACCAAAGTCAGCAGCTCGACAGCCAAAGGAGTGAGCGAGAGCACATGATGTTGGCCAAGCTTCAGAAGTTTGTCTTCTCGTTCTTTGCACTTCGCCTTGTCCTTCTTGCCATTCCAAAAACTGACTCCTTCCCCAGCATCTGAGCTCTTCTCGTACTGCGTGCCACCGTTCTTGTAGAGCTCTTTGATGTCCTGGGACGTGGCGACCGCATCTTGACCAACCCGATGCATCGGCCCGATCCCCGATCCGACCCACCGCGCCGTTCCCTTGGAACATGAGGCATGCTCGCATCAAGCCCAGCCGTCTTCGCATAATATGACAAAACCCGGCGGATGTTTGGAGCCAGCGGTTGCCCCACCCCCTCTCCTCCCCTCCCCCCCTCCCTCCCCCCCTCCATGCCTCCTTCCCTCCCCCCCTCCATGCCCCCGTGCCGGATCGTGGCGGATCCAGTCTCACCATCCGAGCAGCTACGCCCACCAGCTCGTCCAGCATCACGAAGCCCGCCTCCTCGATGTGCCAGGTGCAATCGAAGGACCCGTCTGGGGATCCACAAGCACCCCCAGGCTGCTCCTAGCGCATGGACTTGGCTTTTTTGTTGCTGGGGTCTCTGGTTCTCCCTCTTGTCTCCCTCTTTCTCTTTTTTTGTCTCTCTCTCCCTCTCCCTCTTTCTCCCTCTCTTCTGTCTCTCTCTTTCTTGATACTTCCCACATGAGGCACGGGCAAAATTACTTACTTGCGGCCGTTTCGCTACTCAGCTTGAGAGTCCCCCATCGTTTTCCAGCGTCTCCTGTTGGTTGCCATGGTTTTGTGCATGTTCACAATATCAATGAAACACCAAATACTAGACTCAACAATAGTAATTTTGACGGTACCTCACATGGAAAAGAGTTAACTTCTGCTCGAAACTGGGGGCCCCTTTTCTGGAACATTCTCTCTTTTTTCTTGGCATGGGAAAAGCTACCCATGATCACAACTGGGGCCTTTTCTGGAACATTCATCACCCCCAGGTCTTTGGAGGAAACCGGGGCCCCGTCCTTGAGACACGCCTCCGTCTTGGCCGGCCCGCCCTGCGGCGCTTTGTCCGTGAAGGGCATGGAGGGGCAGCGCCCGGGCCAGGAGGTCCTGGCTGGCTTTTGTTGGGCCCGTTTTCTCGGGTTTTTGTAGTACACCCTGGGAATACTCCCACGTGTTGACCCCATTTAGGCACATGTCCGGATAAAACCGTGCTATTTTGAACCATTCTGGGTCATTTCCCAAGGGTGTATATAATCCAAAAACCCTCAGATTTTCAGATCCCCGGCGAAAAGCAAACTAAGTTTTAGCTTTGTGAAAACGACCCACCAAACCCGAAAAGGCTAAAAACCTGTGGCTGGCAACCACCAAGTTTAGGATACCCGGCACCCCCAAAATTAAAATGGTGGTTGTTCTTTTGCCTTCCCTTTGAAATCCACAAAAAAAAGGTACCAAAAGAAGACCGACGCATATGTTGGCACCTTTTCGGGACTGGAGGGAAACCTGAAAAGGAAAAACGCGGGGCGCTCCCTTGCGATTGGTTTTACAGAGAAACCCTTCGGAACAGCGGGATGGATGTTGCGGAAAACTTCTCATGGGTGGAACTCTCTGCCGTCGTTGTGTTGATTGCTGCTGGGCCGAATCGGATGGATGTTGACTCGAGCTTGACTTGGTTGACGTTGGAAGGGGAGCAACAAAAAATGTTTCATATTTTAGCAGCTAAGTGGTTGGATTTCAACCACTAAACCACAATGAGCAAAATGCAAAATGCTTCCCACCCATGCTGAGATCTCGTTTTGGCCGAGGTCCAGTAGCCCTCGTCATAGCCCGAGATGCCCGTGGGGTTGTGCTGGCAACCCACCTGGGAGCGCTCGAGCGCTGTCTCGGTTCGCATTAAGTCGGAAGCCCGCGCCTCGTAGCCGAAGTCGGACCAGATGGCGTTGCACTTCTGGACATGGTCGGGCATGCCGAAAGTGGCCTGGCCGTAGTCGAACTGGATGAACTGCCCGAACTGGGCCCTGAACTTCTTCCAGAGCGCCTCTGAATTCTTCATGGTTACTTTGAACCGCATGACGCGATCCACCTGAAACTTGGTGGTCCGCTGATTCTCGGTGTCCCTCATCTCCCCGTCCTTGTCCACCACCTCGTTGTGCAAGTAGAACATCACTCCCCCGATGTTGGCCAAGTTGATGTTCTCCCAGAGCCGGTTCTTGGGCACCACGCCGCTTTGGGCGCGGTACTGGTAGAAGGTCATCAGCGTGGGCTCGCTGGAGGTGTCGCAGCCACCCAAGGGCTCCGGCACCTGGCCCTTGCTGCACTGCTTCGTCTCCACCTGCTGCAGCGGCGGCAAGGTCGTGCTGCCGGACACAGAGCTTTGGCTGGGAGTCCAGAAGGTGGAGCACAGGCCGCTGTAGTGAGTGGACTCCTGGCCCACAAACTGCGCGGTCTTCAGGTAGCAGCCCCCAAAGGTGCAGAACACAAAGCTGTTGCAACCCACAGTTGCTGTACACGCGTCCTCGCAGTGCTCCCTGCTGGTTGTGAGCTGGGCAAGCTCTTGCCCCTCCTCGTCGGCGATCATGCCCCATCCGTTCGGGAACAGCGGCAGGTATGCCTTTCTAGGTGCAGTGGGCTGTGCCGTCGTGGCTGGCTGCGCGGCTGGCTGCGCTGTTGGGTACTGTGGCTGCATGGGCCGCATCCAGGGGTACATGGGCTGCATGGGCTGCATGGGCGGCATGGGCGGCATTGGCTGCATGGGCTGCATGGGTTGCTGCAGCCATGGTGGTGGCAGACCCATCATCCACCAGGGGGGCATCTCGTCCCGCTCGCTCTCGCTCTCGCTCGCGCTCGCCCGCGCATGCCGCTGCAGCGCTGACGCCGCACAGGCGCCGGCGCCGCCGCTGGCTGCGGCGCACTCGTCATCCGCGACCAAGGGCGAGCCTAGGCCGAGCTCCTGGGCTGCGCCCAGCACCAGCAGCCACCACATTCCATCGAAAAAGCGCTGGGAGCAGGAAAGAAAACCTGAGGGCTCTAGAGCCCAGAGCAATCTCTGCAAGACTCGGCAAAGCACACACGCAACGCGCACACGCACACGCACGCACAAGAACACGCACGCACGCCCACACCCACACCCACACCCACCCAGAGCGAGAGAGACGCAGACACAGACACAAACACAGACACAGAGACAGACACAAAAACACAGACACAAACACATACACGGCGGCCTTGTAGTCGGCTACGCCATCTTGGCCCTGCATCTCATCCTGGGCATACAACGAGTCAGCAGTTGATGCTTGGAATGGGCAGCTAAACTGTCAATGGTCTCCGTGAGCATGTTCTAGTTGTGTCAAGCTTACTGGCTGCTGCAAAGCATGACTCGTTCATGCAGGGCTTCAGAAGCCAAGATATCAGTATTGCAACCAAGCATCTGTTTGTTTGATCCACTCGACCTGAGCAATCGACATCCAAGCTTGGTTTGTGTCATGAGTCTGCCGGTACTTGATTGCACATGTTGGCAGTTGGCAGGCTCGAAATGAGGGGTCTCGAAGAAAGCAAAAAGGATTGCCTTCAATGGGCACCAAGTCGCAGAGAGGCATTGCTGCTCGTCGTGCCATACTTCCCCG